CAAACTGTTCTAGGATGGTTTAGTCAAAGCGACAATTCTTCCTACCTCCGAGACTCCTCCCCATGGTTTATTTAGACGTCGGTAGGCGGCCTTATTGAACTCCAAAGGCGATTCCTCTCCATTTGAATCTGTTCACTCTATTTGTGCACTTAAGAATTCCGATTCGACTAAAACGTCATCTACATTAGCCATTCGCTGTTGCATGAGGTGATAAAAATTACGAAATCAACGACCCAAACAACTACTTTTTCTTCTTCCTGTGATTAAAACAGGGAAAAGCTTGAACTGCCCGAGTTAAAAAAATTGTCTTTAATAGAACATAAAGATTTGACTCTCGAGGATCGGAACATTTTTAAATGGGAGGGGTTTGGTTTTTCTGCTAATAAATCCTTTTTTTGCCTTTAATAAACATCGATTTCTACTACCAAGGAGAGATGAAAACGATGTCCCCTTTTCTTGTGGTACACGTTTTCCCACTTCATTTTGGCTTTGTGTCTAGATAGTAGAGTAAAAAGACTGCTTCCACCCCTCCACAATCGCTGAGACCTCATTTTATCATGCCAGACGGCCTGTCAACAAACTAATCTTTTGCTTAAAAATGGCATATTACTCTTGCAGTTCTTGTTTTTCGTGTAGTTATTCAAAATTTATTTCCCTGAAATGGGGTTAGTCACCCGAAACTAACTACATCAGTGGTGAAATAATGCCTATCACCGAGTCCTTTTGTCCTAGGCCTCGATTTGAATCGTGTTTGTAGAGAGCAAAAAAGAAGATTGCTTAAGAGTAGACTTAAAAACCTTCCACTTCTTGATACTTATGTCACGAAAAGCAAAATGCGTTTGAAGGCTGAAGGCACGAAGTTCAAATGGGGCCCATAATACGGCCCAAACTACTCAAATGTTGTCCCGAGTCGTTGCTGAAGTCGAACTAAGTAGTATGGAAGAAAATATTACTCTCCAATGCATAGAAGAATTGGGAGACTACTAACATGGTCTAAAGGTTGTGCTGCAGAACGGAGATACGACCTGGTTAAACTCGCAGTTAAACAGTATCAGATTGCTGCTCTAAACCAAATTCTTTTTTTAATTTTCAAATCTTTTTTGGTTTTGCAGATTCTGAAAATCTGTTATAATGATTATTGTAATCATAATCTACTGCAATAAAGCCCAGGGAAGTAGTTTTTTCAAGTAAGCTAATGCAGGTTAGAAAGAATGTAAGAATCCAAAAACTACTTTTAGGTGTCTTAACCACTGAGACAACACTCATTTACTTTGTCACTAACCAGGTAATCAAAATCGGGGTCTCATGGACTAGAATTTCGAAAAAAATGCTGATTTCGAATAAGTATTTCATTTTTCCCATCCTAACACTGCTTCAACATCCACCTTATCTTTTCTACCTCTTAATAGTATAGGTAGGCACGAAAGCTGGAAAGTTTTTGCTTGTTGCTTACTATTTCTTAAAAGATAACATTATCCACTTAATGCAAACCTCGAACAGGCCTCTCTAGCCTTTGCTGCCATGGTCGCTTCATCAGGAATGAGATGGTCATGAGCAAGGCAATTCTCAGACCCCACCAAAGTAGGATATCTGCACTGCATGTAGGCTCGAAATTGGTGGTCCCATTGAAAAGTATATGGTATGAGGTCAACTTCAACGATTATTTGCAATCCCTCGATTTTGAATGACAAAGGGCACATTGAAAGGGTCTCAATTTAACACTTCATTTGCGGGTCAAAGTGGACAACAGCTTTCTATCGTAAACTGAGGCTTAAGTGCGCTAGCTTGTACACCTCATGTCGAACTCCTTACCGGAGTGCTCAATCGACAAGACTTCGTTATAGATGCCTTTATTTGCTAATGCGTGCGTATGTGATAGCTGACAGGTTAGTGGAGTATACCAAAGACCGCGGTCAGGGGGTAGTTTCACACCTCCCTACCTATAGCTTTTGATTGGCCTTGATCTCGAGGTGGGCATTAACACATTCAAGGTACATCCATTTGTGATACCAAATACTGAGGCGGAGAGCGATTTATGCAAAGATGGGCGCTTCTAGGAAATGCCAGCAAAAACGTTTTCTGGGGATTCAGACAACTCCAACACTTTTTCGCAAGTGCGTGGGTTTACTGTAATATATCTATCTAATGCTATATTTCGGTGAAATTTGATAACGAGTCATGAAAACATTTGGTGCATTTGAGCTGGCACCGCATTTACTACCTGTACTAACTGTTGATAAACTACCTTTCTTCTAGTTGAAGAGAATCCCGAAAGTATACTTATAATGGCTAGCATTCCAACAGTCTAATCACTCTACAAAGGTTAGGATTCATAATATCAAGTTAATGTCACCTTTTCAGAGTTCCTGAGTGCTGCGTTTTAGAAAGCGGTCTTGGGGTTTGAAAGATCAGAAGCCACACAAATTGTCGACGAATATCTTAATTACTTTTTAATTCACTTTAAAGAGTGAAAAATTGTTGAAGTCTACTTTGGTCATCCTTATGAAGCGAGGAGTCACGAATTTGAGTTAAATTATATTACACAACTTGCAGATCCAATTCCTGAAATTTGTTGATCACAATGGAGAGTATTAATTTGGAAAATTGGGTAAACCAATTCCCCAGCCTAAATGCCAATTCTATTGGCGGTGATAAGAGGGGTTTTGGGGTGACATTTACACAGTCTTTGAAAAGCGATGGATGTGTTTCGCACATCTTTATTTTCGTCTTCCTACTTTCTATTTAAGATAGGCCAATAGGTGATAAGAATTTCCCTTTTTTCCATCATTTAGCATTAGAAAATTCCCCTCAAGACCTGTTGGAACACTTGTACTAGTGTTTCCTCCTAATGCATATGGACAGTAGTCAATAACAACCGAGGTGGGGAGGGATTGAAACCCTCCCCTGGACAAGAAAGAAGTCATAACATTCACCGCGGAGAGATAAAGATAAATGAGGCCTCTAGAATAGGTCCCTGTAATATTCCGAATAACCAAAATCGTGGCTATTTTACAGCGCAGTTGCCATCCATCTTGACGTTTACATTGACCACCCGTCAGAAACAATTGAAAACGCTTTTGGGATGAATTTGGATTGTCCAATAAACGTATTCTGGGATTATGCTACTGTCATTTCATTGTGGAAAAATAACTTAGAAAGTTCTCGGTTGTTGGCGGACTTGTATTTAACGACGAATGCTAGTTAAAAACGCCTGCTTAGCTGCTTAACTTTATCTCCCATCCAGGGCTGTGAAAGCTTCTCATCAAATTTAAAGCTGAGTTGAACAGAAGGCACCGTCCGGAAGACAGTCTACTTTGGGTCAGGAATAACTTGTAGGTAGATGCATCACCTCCAGGATGACCCTCTGTCGGTGTTAGGATCAGCAAAGAATTACATTTGTATCTACTTTAATAGGCAGAAGAAGAGGAAGCCGTGGTGAGAGACAACTAGATTAGTCCTACCCAAATAACGATACAGTGACAGATGACGATAGGTTTCAAAGACTTTTCATTTTACTGAGCTATAGAGGGGATCATTCACCTCTATTTTTTTGTTGAAGGTCAAACAATAATAGGTAAGATCTATATCTTACAAACCAGCACGACGCGAATATGTGCAAGAGGAACACGCACAGAAGCGGAAGTGATAACTCAAAACCTCACATTGCAAAACTTATTGTAAAGCAATTTGGACCTTAGGATTTGGAGGGAGGAAGAAAGGGAGGGAGTAAGATACAATCTCACTTCTGAAAATGATGCTGACACTGGTTGCTGCTCCTCTCAAGTGTTTATTGTTGCTTTTTCTTGGCACTGCCATTAGGCAATCACAATCGTATGCGAAACAGCCTGTTTGGGTGTAAACGTAGGTGGTAGAAACGGCGTCGAGAGGCGAAGCGTCTACATATAGGTGTAATTTACAGTGAGCTTTTGTCTCATTTGGAGAAGACTAGATAATAGATTGCAATGGTGACTATTTTATTAAATGCCACGTTACTGGAAGTGCTTCATTTTAATCGGTTAACTTAAGCACTGAAGAGGTTGAATTATAAGGTACTCCTCAGGGCTGGAGGATGCTCTGTGTATAAGGCATTTGGCATAGCAAGCACTTTCCAAAAGCGAAGCACCTTTGATAAATTACTTTCCCAGGCTTTCATATTCAGCTAATTAGGGCGGATATCAAAAAGTAAGAGCAGTTTTCCTGGCCTCTCTTTTTCCTTTTAAGTCCTCCCACATTCAATTATTCCCAACACCTACGATTTCCGCCAATGTCACCTCTTTTGTACCAACCGGCGGATACATCTAGACACAGGTATTTTTTGAGGTAGGTGTGAAAGCTGTTAGATTTCTAAAGGAGCACAAAATTCATCTCACCTCAAGGTGGCGGAACATTTAACTCATCTTAGGACAAGAGCGATCACCACGGCATGCGACCACCTTCGAAACGTTCCATTTCAGAATGTGCTGCCTTAAAATCAAAACAAAAGGCACAGACTAATAGCATTTAAAATATACCCTATCAGGTCAATTTCAGTCAGCCTGTTTGCAGCACAATCCGTTGGTATGAACTGAGAAATAAAATGCGTCACATATTTGTGACACTGGCACCGAGTTTGTTAAGTAAGGCTGCAACTTACTCCTCATAAAGTGCCTATGAATGTACAAAAAAAACATAATTTTTTGTGTTTGGCAGAAGTACTTTGAAGTTTACACAGCAGTAACTGCTCGGACCTGGTTTTGATAAGGCAGAAACGGGACTTCTAGGATCGCATTTTCTCATACATTAGCAAGGAAAATGAACCAAAAGTGGGAAAATATTTCTGGTCTCTCTCTCTCTCACTAAAATGCTTTTATCATGGTAAATGACCTCTTTGCTTTCTAGATATTTTAGTAACCCACTTCAATTAGTACAAAGTATCTACCTCTAAACCAAGCAGCGACGTAATTTTATTAATCAGTGAGTTTATCTGGGAGGTAACCTATTCTCCTTTTTCAACAGGCCGAATGGTAATAATAGAGGATGCCTCACATCGAGAGGGTGAGGAGTCCAACGGTGGTATTTTTTGGAGTAAGTTTTATTTTCTGAATTGAAAGCCGCTGTATTTGACCACTTTTAAGGACATCCCAAATGAGCGATTTTTTCTTCTTTTCAACTCCTCTTTTTAGTGCTTTCACAAGTGCGTCCAGAAATCGTGTTGGCGTTAATTGCACTCGCTGTGGTCGCCATTCTCCTCAGCATTGCTCTTTCCATTCGGTGCGCTATGACAAAATGTTATTTTGGTGAGTGCTTTTCATCGTTTTTAGTTTTTTCTTCAGAAATATCTATTTCAATTCATTTTTTTACCATCATACTGGTCCTTGGTGTACAGTAGAATGAGGAATCAGGATGCGAAGCTCGTCACCTTTCTGATGTGGAGGAAATTAATCACGACGCGTCCACTACTAGAGGTTCAGAGGAACATTGACCAGCACCATTCAGATGCTCCACTGACACTTACCCCGTCAAAATGAATAATTCACCAGCTGATTGAGAGATGAAAAAAAGGAGTAGTTTTCCCCAGGTTGGGAAGATTATACGGCTTTTTGCTTCGAACATTCAATTTGATGCGGGTAGGTGTCGTAAGCTGATAAGGAATGCGTCACACGTCTGTGACAGTGAGTTTGTAAGAAAATTGAGGCGTCACACATCTGTGACGCTGGTGATGAACGAGCTTAGAGTAGTGAGTAGTCATTGATGCTACGAAAATGTGACTCCTCGGTATTCCACTTCAGGAGTGAGTAATCAGGTTGCAGACGATAAAGCTCATTAAATTAAATGTGCGCAACTAGAATTTTTTTCAATATTTGGTGGTTTAATTAGAATATACTTGTCAAAGCAGAGGTAAATGATAGTATTTGGAGGTTTCTTTTGAAAATTGATATCTCGTACTAGAGGACTCCACTTTTTTGGAATACAAAGAGGAATGGGTTAAACCTTCGCACCTTTTATTCACCAAGAGAATATTTTATCTGCAACATACTACCCAGCGCCCTTTTTAATTGCTCATAAACTACTGTGTTGGAAGAGGTTTTATTTTAGCATCTTTTTATATGCTTCTGGGAATGAAATGTATCCACTTCTTTGGTGGGTCCGTGGCTGATGAGAAAGTACTGCATGTAGGGCCCCGAGTCTTGCAGAGGGGATGGAAGGCTATTGATATATCCCGGAGGCCATACTGCCCAGCAGAAGCGCAATCTCCGAGGTCTTACGTGCCCGCCTAATCGAGTGCGGAGTTAAACAAACTATCAAAGCATTACCAATCCCTTCCCCTCATTTGACCTTCGTCCCCGCCTCTTTCCTTGGTCAACTTCCCTCTTCGGTCATTATAACATTGTCATGCTTTAAATGAAACACCCGCCATCAGTCATCGAATTTGTGTACAGCTGAGACGATATTTGGCCTTAACGTGGCTGACGCGACTCGACAAGTCCACTGAGTCTGGAGTTTTGTCCTGTTTACGGACTTTATTGAGAAAAGTAAAGTGTACTGACCCTATACTGATCAAGACCGGGTGATGCTCCGCAGTAAGGCCATCTCGTACGTTCATGGCTAGTCCTAGGACCACTGGCCTAAGAGCCGATATTTGATGAGGGGCACAGTTTAAATTGTTTCGATGGGGGTAAGGTTTTACGCCCGCATCCCCTTGCCATTTTGTTCCGATTTTATTGCTCTCCAAACACGCATCTATCCTCATTCCATTCAGCTAGCAGAGAGGTAAAAGAGGTGTCGTATATTCACTTAATTAATCTCTTCATATACATACTGTAGGTAGCTCCATAACAAACTTTTCCAGATGCTTCATGGCTAGTGTCGCTACAGTTGTTGATAGCATTCCTGCAGAACACGGGACTGGGGTGGTTGTTAAAGGAAGACGTCTTTTTCAACACTTCTGTTAGGAGTCTTTACAGACTCTCTGATCGGCAGCAGATGCCCACTTTTGACCCGTTAAGCTTTACCATTCAGCAGTGGAGGTCAAGGATGTTGCCCATCAGGATCGGGTTCGCTTGCCACTGCCACCAATATGGCGCCCTAAAGCTTCCAGAAGAGATGGAAGGTTACAAGCATTGGCCGGAAGCCACACCGACGAGCAGAGGTACAGTTTGCAGTGTCGTAAATGCCCGCCTAGTCCAAGGCCCAAGACATTACACTTATATATTTCACCAATATATCCAAAATTTTAATGTGTCAAATTTTGCAGTATACACCAGTTAAAGTTGTTCGTTAAAACGAATTTAATTCACTATTTGAATTCCACAGAAGTATATTTCAGCCTAATTTGCTGTAATTAACTTCCATAAATAACCACCTGTTTAACTAGCCGTTGTTTTGATGATTTTGTGCAATGATCAGGTGTTAATCAGGAGGATCAAATGTAGTATTGAATGAAAGTGCTGGATTCGTCCAGTAGAAGAGAAGGCACGCCAAACAGGTGATGCTCGTAAAAATCAGTTGTGCTGCCAAAAGCACACCATAATTAAGCGACTGCTTCCGCTATTACTTTGATGCTAGCTTGTCTAAAATCAACGACTTTCTACCTCTTTGTATTTGCTACCTTGGTTTTTCACGAATTAATTAAGCCTGATCGACGTCTGCCCTGTTGCCGACTGGCTGAACTCATGCACGACAAACTACAACTTTCAAGCTGGTTTAGTGACTATGTCATCAGCACCATATCTGAATTGAGCCGATATCTCAGACTCTAGTCCATCTTTTCTACCCAAATAAACGTGGGACTTTTGTCCATAATTTTCAGCCCCTTCTGTCTCACTTTCTCTCCTAACGCCGAAGCCATTAGTGGTCAACAGCAGTAATTCGCCCCCTATTTTTGCTTCGGAGAAAGGTAAGTCGCGTACTGGCGCACAAAAGAAAGCATTTGCTTTTTGGCATTAGTCATTATGCGTGTTTGTGCAAGAAACGAGTAATTTTGACCAACTTCTCAATCATCACGCAGAGGCAGGCCTTGCTTCATTTTGGGTATTTGCTTCGAAATATTCCTAAAATCTGCAGTTTTGGCACCCCTTTGACCTCTCCTTTATGACGTGAATGATCTCGCTGCTCAAACCCGCATAGTGTTTAGATAAACGCGCTTTAGTGTTCCCAGGATCGTAAGAAATTGAGGTAATTGTAGTTTTTGCACTCTATTTGAAAAAAATAAATTTTCTTAAAAATTGAGAAATAAACCACTCAATCCATACCAACATCACTCATGTCGACTTATGCAGTTATCAGTAGCAGGAACAATTTAATTTCACTTAATTATGTACTACACGCATAATTCAGCTTTATTCAATGCTACATCGTCAAAAATTCGGAAAGAAGATAAAAATAGCGTGCACTCATGACGATGAAGTCCATGGACAAGAAGTGCTTTTAGTCAATATGAGAATGTCTTCACTATATCCATTCCACGAAAATCAAACCGACGAATGGGAAGGTGAATGTGCCGAAATCTCGGATGAGTCATCGAATAAAAAGACTTCTTTAATCAACAACTAGACTTAACTTTACTGGAAAATTCTTGGTGCTTTTGATATCATTGCTTCATTTAGCAAATAACACCCTTCTATCCGTCGAAGTCCTGACTGCTACTGAAACCCCTTCTAAGTAGCAAGCAAAGTAGCTTTTGAGTCCCATTTGCCAAATCATCGCCTGCGTCTTTGACACTTGCCTGGGTTAATGTGAAGTCTGAGTACTTGATGGCTCAGCACTACTCCCATTGATTGTAAGTAGTATAGGTGCGGCAATGATTCGTATTACTCAATTGGGATCAAGACCATTCCTCTCGCGCAGCTCATTCGAAGAGCCTACTCATAGTCAATCGTTCTTCGATCATACTAGCTAAATTACTACTAGCCGTAATGTACTACTCGTGGACCTCCATAAGTAGCACAAAGATTCGCTTAAGTGACAATGCACCCTTCACTGGTCAAAAAAGTAACTTTACTACTTATATGCGCTATAAGCATCACTAGAACTATTCCCCAAAATGACGAAGACCTTTAAAATTCAATCGAAAAGGCAGAATCGGAACCACTCGCCTTTTTGTGACTCCGGTCAATGTTAACTTCTGTTTAACTTTTCTGCTTGTATGCAATTTCACAAACATTGCTATTACCCACTGAGAGAAGCGCACTCCTGATCGCTCTTCTTCCTCGTCGGGGCAAAACATTATTTACTACATTCGCATTGATCAGAACCCGTGTCTCCTTCCAGACTCCCTCCAACAGGAAAACCCCGACCACTGCCTGGGTCGTTGCCTCTGCTTCGAGCCTGCCTCGGGTAATTCACTCATCACTAAGTGCCACAATCACAGCCACGTGCCTCAAAGTCACGTTCCCTACGGCTTGATGTTACCACCGCCTCCACCACCACCACCACCACCACCACCACCGCCAACGTTCTTCACCCCATATCAGGTAGACCAGCAGTCAGATGGCGGCGGATTGCCGGCCTATACGCGAAATATCTCCCTTGGCGAGGCAACAAATGCCAAGCTGTTAGCACAACAACCACCTGGAACATTGTCAACTGCGTCGTCTTCAGATACTGGGACGTCGAATCCTTTTCCTGTCTCACTTTCAGGTGGGTCAAAAAATTTTGAAGAGACCAGCGTTAGATTGCTTTTGCGACAGTAGTTTTTTACTGCTGCACAGCAGCACTTCAGTTGAAACTGTGCTATCCAGTCGGGCGAGAACGTTATTCTTGGAAAAAAAACATTGGATTAATCGAGATAAAGCTCCGCGAGTTAAACAATCGACTGGCTTGGGTGTCAAAGCTAAAAATCCATTGAAAGGCTTACGGTGATGAAATGTTAAAAATCTTGGGAGCGACTGTCAGTAAGTGGCGTTCTCTTTCAAAATGTACCTTGGGTTGATTACACAGTAGGGCTGAGAGTTTGCTGGCACAAAGGAACTGAACAGGATATTGTTTAAAGGTCCCAAATAGTCGTTCCTAATAATCACCACTCGGCCACGCAGTTTCAGCGCTGCTTTAAGCGGTGCCATGGCGGCTCCTATTGACCTCAACCGCCATAGCGATTTCTTACCACTCGCGTTGAGTAACAGACAGTTATGGACGTCGAAACGGGCTTTCGTGTGTGCAGAGATTCAATCCTTCATAGTGCAACAACACTTAATCCACTTGGACACAAATCTTAAATTAAATGGGCCAACAAACTCCCATTTTGTAATATAGCGTAACCAAATAATTTCATGCTCACACTTTCCTTGAATAAAAAATTGAATAATACCAAAAAGCTCTCTACAATAAATCATTAGTTAAAACAATCACCGAGGCGGCACGAGCATCCGAACTCCACCTCTATAAATCGCCTTCTCTCTAAAAGCCAAGGAAAACTTGGTCCAAAGATGTTCCTACTACCTCATCGTTTCATTTCAGCGAGGATGATTGGTTAAACTAAACACTTAACACCTTTGAGTCACTCCTCAAGACGATAGCAAGGGGTTCCAGTGGAGATTTGCTGTTAACAAATGGAATGAAAGTTGTGGCCATTGACGGAACGTTAAGATGTCAATAAAGAAACTGAAATCGGAGAGATTTCAGGGCCCACGTTGTTGAATATTCACTTGAAGCTAATATTCTTGCACTGGAAGTACTTGCCAGAATAAAGGTAAAGCGATAATAGCATAGCTGGATTATATGAGGAGAGTAAAAGCGTGTTTATAGACTACGAAAAGGAGATTTCAGGGGTAGGTGAGACCTAGAAAGGGGACTAACATGAGGTTAATGTCCCCTTAGTGGATGCACCAGATGCGCATCATGTCACCATTATTTACGGCCTTTTCTCCTTAGGGACCCTACCAGTCCATTATCAGGGCAAACGAGACAGCATTGAGATCGGTTCTGTGGCGAGCGATCCCTACAACCAGACCAAAGTCTACCTCATCAAGATGGTAGACTCAAGTGGAGGCCAACACCAACAGCACCACCACCAACAGCAACAACCACAGAAGACGCAGATCGGCAACAACATAAATAACACCGTCTACGATGAGGAGGTGCTGAACAGTGGAAGTAGAGGAAATTTCCACACCGTCAATCCAACACTGGTTCAATTTTCCAGTTCAACAGAAGCTGCTGGACTGATTCTCTGCCATCGACTAGCAGATGACGGTTCGAGTTTATCGAAGACTCAATCCGAAGTAGATTTTGCGGCAGCTAGACGACTGCCGTCTCCGCCACAGACACAGTCCTACATCCTGCTCTCATCCCCGCCACCGCCACAGCCTAGTAATGTAGATGTTAAATGACCATGTCCTGGCCCGGCCAAACCTGACATCCCTTCCCTCAACCATTGTCATGACGACTAACGCACACAAACACGGACGCATGCGAGCAACATTGATGATATTGAAATTAGCGAACCACGGTTCAAACGCACAAGGAGAAGCACAAATGCGCCTATGAAAAGTTTGACAATTAAATGGATTTTGTGGTGTAAATAGAATTTAATTGATTACACCGGAGTCGATGTTGAATGGTTGTGGTGTGCGGAATTAAACAAAAGTTTCAGAATCAGTAATAAATTAATCTCTGACACGAAGCGGTATGAGGAATGGAGGCCTATCAATAGCCAAGTAAGATGATAGCACGTAAAGCAATAGCAAAGGTGTTTATTCGACTGACACAAGAGATACAATGATCCTCCTCAGAGAACACCCTAGGTCTATTCCACTGTCTTAAACTCAGCCAATCTGCCCGTAATTTGTACTGCAACGTGCGACTGCCGGCCGATCGTATGGGGAGCCGCGGCACGGGTACGCACGAGTCTCGTGTGACTGAACAACTAAGGCCATCTGCTCGAAAGAATAGTCAGGATCTGATTGTTCCCTGATTAGTGGTTAGTGCATGCATAAGTCATTTAGGAGTCAGATAAGTGACTACATTTGGTTACGTATGTCTGTATAAAAGCCAGTGCTTTTCCAAGCGTCTTCTGCCAGATATATAGAGTACCATTTCGGTTAACAGTTTTGTTATTTTGTATCATAATCAGGACTCATCAGCGTAAATCAACTTGGCGCAACCGGTTACTCACAAGTTAGTGAAGAAAATGCCATACTTGCGACGATAAAAGCAGGTAAGAAAGTCAGATTGCATGCATGTGACGATGGTAGCGTACACATGAGGGCTGGATGACGTCTTACAGGGGGAGTAACATGTGTTTTCTATCAGTTTACTGTAAGTGGATGCACCAAGTCACCTATCGCAAACAGGTTAAGTCAAGACAAGAGACCAGACGTTCTTAACCTGCAAATAACCACAGCTGTCTGATTTTCGATTCTGTTGGAAAGTCGGTGAAGACTGGATTTATACTAATACAATAAAATGGTTAAACTGCGGTGCCCCACTTTCCTTCGAGATTCTGACAACGGACGCGTTAACCATGGGAAATACCCTGCAGACGTGGAAAACTCACCACGAAGTGGTTGGTTGATGCTCAGGTATTTTATTTGCACCACTAATATACACCAACTGGAGTGGCAGATTAAATTCCACTATTCGCGGGAGAATTTTTTCCCAAGCTTCAGTTTATCGGATTAGCATGCATTCATCAGGAAAAAAATATTTAACTTACAAGGCCGAAAGAACAATAAAAACCAATGCAAGATACTGATCTTGGCCATATTTATTAAAATATTGCATTGAACGTTCATTTACAAGACAATCAAAGCGAAATTTAGGGGCCCGTATGGGAGGCGGACCCATCGCTACTGATTAAATTAAAGTAGACAGTTAGCTTCCCTGCTCCGAATGGACAGCCAAGGCGCAGAGAAGAACAAAATATATTTACTCAAAGAAAACATATATATTTATATATACACACACAAGCAGACTCACAAATACCCCTTCATTCGCCGTATACTCAAACTAGCTTGTTGCAACTCCACCGCCGTCATCTGAGAGTATAGATCTATCCCAAACCTCTGCCTATTAGCGAGAGCCAGGTCAATAACGTCTCTCAGACACAGAGTGACTAAATAGGCCAAAATCGGGACGACCTCAGCTCCACCCGCTCCACGTTGAATTGGGAGTCCAGCACGCGCCAACCAGATGTCAAAAGGCTGCCCTAGAAGGCGTGCTCTCTGCCGGAGTCGAGTGAACTCCAAATACTGCTCCGTAGTGGCCAAATTGGTTGCAAAACCGTCAATTCTTTGCATACGAATGTGCTGACCGGTGACTAAGAGGCAAAGAGGGGCGAAAGTAGCTGTGTTTTCTAAATGGATGTTGAGTTTTTCGCATTCGGCGTGGAAGACGGAGAGTGATTTGGAGGAGGGGTCAAAGATTGCAAGGGAGTCAGGATTCTCTGGGTCGTTGGAAGCGAGAGCATAGGTAGAGAGGTAGGTTAGGATGCGAGAGAGGTGAAGCTTGCAATCTGAGAGAGAGGCGATAAGACGAGGAAGAGTGAGGGGAGAGACGGAGTCGCCCAAGAGGGAGCGAAATGCCCCAGCCAGGTATTCGCAATGCTGCTGAAGAGCTTCTACCACGATGTCAGAGACGGTTCCTGTGAGGATGAAGTAGTCACCTGAAGCAAGAACGATTAGACGAAGAGCTTTGGTAAATGCATCTGTCTCGTCCGATGGAGGTTCTTTGCCGGGCATCTAGAAGAATATGTAGTACCCTTGCTATCTGTTTTGGAACGCAGTAAACCAAAGAGATTTAGGATAGTTTAGCGAATAAAGATGCGTTTCCTTCATTTATGGAGGTAAATACAGAGATTAAGTTTGCCTGCTAATCTTTCAAAATACCACATGAAAGTTGATCCCTGGAATGTTTTATTTGCAGCCTACAGGTTTTGAAAGATGAATATAAATAGTTTACATACAAAAAAACAAAGTTCAGCAGCATTATCTGTAAAAGATGTAACCATATTTATGCATATAATTGCCTATTACCACGTATATAAGGTGTACCGTGTTTTATCAAATAAATTAGAAGGCAAATCTGCACAAAAAACTTTTAACTTTTCAAATTTTGGCTAAAAAATTCCACTACATGTATTCAATGATAGGAAACTACTTAAAGCAAACGCGCCAACGCAAGAAGCTTGCACTGATAATTACAAAAAAACTAAACACCCAAGTAATACGAAAACATAACAGGCATTAAGAGAGATAACAGGGAACTAATGTACGCTCGAAGCTATCATAAAAAGCAACCATTTTGCATTAAGTTACGATAAAAACAATGGAAAGACGTTAATAAAAAAGGTACGTAGTCGCCGACAAACTTGCTATCCTTCGTTATATTTTTGGTTATACATATACGCACGAAAAAGGCACAATAACTAACTATTGGCATAGCATACATACGATCAGGTTTCGACGAAAAAGCACAGGCGAGAAACTCCACACGGAGCCTCATAACCCACCTTAAACCCAAAAAAGGTGTGTTCATAAGGTTGGGTTAATTTCGGCTTGATTAAAACATAAAAATATTTTTGATATTCTCAATTAAAGAGTTTCTGCAGTTCCTATTCATAGAACCATCTAAAAAGCATAGTTTTCTTAACTAATTTGGGACCTAATATTAGAATAACCAGCAAATTGTCCTACTTTCAACCACAATATGCCCGACGCTCATTCTGCTCAGACATAACCAACTAGCCATGCTATTTGATTGCCCAAAATCTGTTTATTGACGTGTTTTTTCTGCGCATTTACGATTTGCATCAAAACAGTTCCTTTTTATTTACATATTTACTACAAACTGATAAAATATTGGACTCTTACAAGAACACTTTTTTATCGCATTCCTATTAAGCATTGTATCACGTACTAATAAAGCAATTAAATGAACTAAAAAGCATGTGTAGTTATTGGAACTTTTTTTATGCATTTACCATTTTTATGTGTTAATGGTGAATTCATGATATACTGTGATACGCTGATTGTCATGCACCTTTTGTAGCGATAAATAACTATATAATATTAGCAAATAAATCTCACGTCTATTATGGGTGCATCGAAATCCAGTAATTACTTCCGAAATAAAGCTATGTAATACGACAGTGGTTTATCCCTCGGTACCGGTGAGGCGCCACTTTTGTGCTTTGAATTAGCCCCCTTGTACCCCGCTGGGTGGGCTGGCCTTTTGGGCCATGCCAATACCCCAGACACCTTCTCTGCGCTGAATATATATTCTGCTCGAGTATTTTGTCTTCTTTCGTCTTCAGGGAGTCTCGGGACGCTACAGCTATCCCTAAAATTCTTCTTTTTCATCACCTATTTTGTTAGTCGTTTTCCTAAATCTTCGTAGAAGCAGTGGCGACATTAATACTGCCCGAGTTACCACCACCGCTGCATTGCCTTTCTTTCGTATTGTCCAAACACTACCCTTATTAGAGGGATACCCAATGGGTGCTCACTTTAAAGACATTGCAGTTTCACCCTCCTATAGGGCCCACATTCTTGTAGTTTTTCACTTTCGTCAGCAAATGAAAGAGGAAGTAAAACGCACTAAATCAGTGAGATGTTCTTAGTATAACGTTATTCCTTTTCACCGCCGAAGTGGTTACTACCATCTCCTAAGTGTTCTAACTTCGAGGTGAGATATTAAATCGGCCCAAAAATTTCTAACAATACTAAATGATTGAGAAATGGCCAAACATACCTTGCAGTCTCCGTGCTAATTGTAGCCAGATGAAACATTTTGCCATTTATCATCTCCTCTAAAGCATTTATTTATTCAACTGTCGGTCTTTTTGGAATTTGCATGCAGCCATGTTGGTGTATAAATCAGCAAATATGAGGTCATAAAATTTCGATAATAAAAGAAAATTCATAACGCTATACCCTAGAAATATGACCACTTTTTCCTTAAATGTAAATAATAACAAAAGGATGTGAAAAAAAGGATTCGAGAAATTGTTTCAGGCTGTCTTGCTTCAAACCAATTATTTGTAATTTTTTTGTATTGACAACTACTTCTAGATTTAATACCCAAAACAATAGCTAGTAAAAATTACTATGACAGTAGGACAGTAGACAAACAACAACAGATGGGTGGATGAATGGATAGATGTTTGGACGGATGGATAAGGGGTGAATGGATTGATGAACGGATACAGGATAGAGGGTTGGGTGGATGGGCAGGTTGAGTGATACTAGATGGGTGAATTGGATGGATGAATAAATTGAGCGATATGGGAGAGATAGGGGGATGAATAGATACAGCATGAATGGTTGGATATGGGTGGACGGACGGATAGCTAAATAGAGGCATGGAAGAAATGGTTAAGGATGGCTAGAAGAGTCAACCTGGATGGTCAAATGCTTAAGTCCTGAATAGGCCAAGTTACACTGCCATAAAGATGTTCAGATAGATAAATTAGTGTATGGACGTATTACACACAGATGGAATGATGATGTGACAAATTGCTGCGCTTTCTTTTTTAAAACGTAAATACTGCCTTATCCCTAACTGAATTCCACCAACGATAACTTTTGCATAATTCTTGTAAAGCAGCTTTTAATTCTAAAGAAAAAGAAGTTTACTATTGAAGATTTCCGATCAAGGTCGACTATCACCACGCATTTCTTTGGTATTAACACAATTGAGCTTTATTTTCACTGATTAACCTTTACAGCCAAATTCAAGTCCAAATATACTAGGACCTCAATTCTTCATAAGTTTATTTAATAGTCGGTGTACATTTGCCAATGCTTCTACTGCTCACATATACTCACCAATGCATGTATATTTCCTCTACTCCGATAAAATAAGACATAAATGACGCGTTTTATTTAGTCAATAGAAAAAGAGGTTTTGTTCCAGTGGCAATTGCCGACAGTCGCAGGCAGAAAATGTGGATATTAAAAGAGATGTGAATCCCTTGCACTGTAGAAACCCCGGAAGTAGTGGTAATGATGAAGGAGGATGATGAGGAAGCTAGTCTCAACAAGGGGGTGCGTAGAAGTACTCCGAGAGGTATATCCGAAAGTAGGAATTGAGAAATCCGCGCAGAAGATCACGCACCTCCTCAGCGTTCTTGGTCTCGGGCATTTGAAGCTCGGAGCGTTGAGTCATGCTGCATCGAGCCACTCGTTCAATGTGAACCTTAAAGAGGTAGGGGAATACAATTGGCTCCTTGCGCCAAGTGGATTCACAGCACTCCACCATGGCTCCCTTTAGCGAGCCTTGAAGTTGACGGTAGCGAATCATTTCCTTGTTCTCTAAGCTCACACGAAAGTTGCCCCATTCTAGTGGTCGCTGCACAGAAAAATAAAATATTTGCTTTAGTTGTACATTTAACACTCCAGGCTCTTCCATCATTGTCACAGATTTCGGAGACCACCTATAGGATTATACCTAGGTCATGTCTGCAAACGGTCCCTTCGGCCTTCAAGGAAGACTCTGAGCATATCCACTTTAGATGGACTCCAATTATTAACCTCCACATTTTTAAGTGGATGGTTTTGTCTGCAAAGACCTATAAGAGAAGGGTTATCGAAGTCGCATTTATTTGCGCCTACCGGACTTGAAAGTGTCCACTTTGAGGCAGTTTGAGGTGCTACATGAAAAAAGTGATACTGAATTTAGGATTTCACTAGTCACATAAAACTCGGACAGATGGTGGAAGAGAAGAAGACGAATAAGGAGAAGTGGATACAAAATATCAGCCCTGCAGAGCCACTTCCGGTTAGGTATTCTTTTTAATGGCTCAGCCTTTAAACAACTGTTCCTCTGACTGCCAACTAGTGAACGAGATGAAGACATTTTGAGCCTCGCCTTGCCTCGGATAGTCCGACGCCAGTCCAAGAAGAGGGCACAATCCCAAGTCATTAGAATCGAAATTTCTTAAAAACTTTATAGAAAATCAACGAACCATCGTGACAATATCTTCTATTACCAGTCTACTCCATCTTCTGTCTAGGTACACTCAAGTCTCTTTGGAATGATGCAACGTCATAGAGGATTGTGGGAGAATTTGGAGTAGCACAATTATGGTGCACGAGACGGAGGTACTGCTACTAACAACTTTGTGAGTAGTTTATGTCACTTTTAAACTACACTACGGGTGTAAGACAGTAGAGTGCAGTGCAGTACGAGACAAGACAAGGTAGACAAAGCTCCGAACATCAAAGGATGAACAAAGTATATGCCGAGACGACGGATGCAACTGGCTGCTAATGGGCACATTCACACGCACACACAAGACACACGACGCGTAAACGCCTACAAAGGTACATTACGATGGTGGGTGATTTAAGTCACCTTCCCTCTTTCTCCTATGGTGGCATTTTTATTAGTCAAAAGTGATTCATCAGTGCGGAAGGTCTGAGTAGAAGTAGTTGGAGAATTGGAGAGGATTATTAATCCTGAGTTTGGGAAGTAACTGTAGAAATGCAAACAAGGCAAGGGGACTTGACAGATGGAGAAGTAGATGGAAGGATGAATAAATTTGTGTCAATAGGTGGATGGATGGAGGAGCATATAAACATGTTGGGGGGTCGTCTAAATGAAATACCATGTACCGGATGTCAAGATTGCTTGATGCCTGATAGAATGTCAGGAGTAGATAAGAATAAGTATAGAGTATACCGGTGACGAGAGAGATGGAGAAAAATGAATAAGGAGGGAAAGAAAAAGGATGAATATGTATCTGGATAAGTGGATGATTGAATGATTTACAGGGTAAGTGAATGGACGGTTAACTACAACAAAAAAATGGCTCCATAGGTTAAATAAACCCACATAGGGCAGACAATCTCGAAAGAGACGAATTGGGGATTGGCGGCACAAAAGATCGTTGATTAGATCAGGAGGTTGAAGATGATACAGGTGGTGAAGTACACGAAAGGAATGTGTGGAAGGCTACGCGTATCTGAAGGTGAAGAGTAGTTAGTCGAATAACTGTATGCATGACTGGATAAACGGATGGATACGGGATAGATGAAGGACTGGATTGTAACAGAGTGAAGGGTATTAACCAGAATCATTGTATGGATAACTGGTGCATCAGATATTTCAATGGTTAACAAAATAGACGAGTGGTAGAAGAATTAGGTACGCACTAACCGACGAGAAGTTCGCTGACGAAATGAGAAACTTGGTAATTAAATTAGCGTGTGGTTGGGAGGCTAGGATCATCTGCAACTTGAAGAGACATCTGGAGGTATGGAGGGAAGTCTGTATATACAAGCACGCAGCTGTGGATGGACAGGTCCCCACGATGGATTGGTAGGTCAGTTGGAAAAAACCCACTACCGACCAAAAGGCTTGCTCTCTAGCCCTAACATAATCCCTAGCATCTTTAAGCTGCAAGCCAATTGGAGTTACCAAGTGTCTAGAAGGTAGTTGATGCAAGCCTTTCAGGCCTAATTAGGGAATGTGAAAACTTTACCTACGAGAAAGCTCCTTCGCCTCCACCAGTTTATCGCCTGTTCCTCTAATTTTAAAACCACCGTCCCCAAACTCCTAACAACCACGACATGAGACAAAACTTACGTGCTGGAGCAGTTGGGCATCGAACATGCGCGAAGTGAAGGCGCATTCAAAGTGAATGCTTCCCTTGGCGGGACAGTTGGGATTGGATGCAACCCAATGACGGCATTTCTGCAAATTCACCGGATGAATAGACTCAAGTTTGAGGGAAATATAGTGCGGCTCCGGTAGCACCTGAATTGTCTCATTGATGCGCAGAATGCTATCCGCGAGAGAGAGAAAACGTTGCCATGTGCCTTGAGTAATCTTCGGTGCTTTGGGTTTTGCAAAACCTGCCAAATCAGCCCACGGGAAGTAAAAAAGGGCGTAATAGCCTACCCGTTCACAATCAAGTTGAGTTATTTATAAGGCCTTATAAAACGAGAGCGTTTAATCTGTTCTAACAACAATAAGCAACATTAAAGTCGCCGGATTTTATGTAATTGATCAGGTTTAGGTGATTCTTTACTGATTCAGTCCCAGAATATTTAAAAATGGAAGAATTTAACGATGTGGTTAAATAACGCTCAACACCCGATGGTAATTTTCACACTTAAAACCAGTCAGTTAAAGGGCCTAAGGAAGAGTGCAGGGGATTTCATGCGTTTTAAAGGCTTTCTATTGTATTAACTCAATAAAAATACGGTGCCAATCAAGTTACCTGTGTATGACACTTATTTCAGTCATAAACTGCTTGAACATAAAATAAATAGAATAGCGATAAGAGCATGAATGGCGGGTTGGATGGATTGACGGATGTTTGGATGAATTAGTAAATGTGTAAACAAATCGACATGCTGACAGCAGATGGAAAACAAGGCGGACAAAGGGGTGAGTGGGTCGAGGAAATAGAAAAACGGGCATGAATGATTGCTGGACGCAAACGACATCGTTTTTTTGTCTAGTCCACAAACACTGACACTCACCCCAAGAAGGTGCGTGTGCAACAAGGAGTAATGCAAGAAGGAGAAGAAATATTATCGTTCCTGGAAATCGCATGCCTCTAATTCTGATGAACTCGCATTCCCCTGCCCTGCCATTTAAATAGTCCGCCCATAATGTGGTTCTCAATTCCTATTGGCTACTTATTTGTGTTGTGTGTGTGTAAATATGCATGTGTACAGGCTTCCACAACAATGCACATAAGCACAGACTTTTCAAGGTGTTCCCTTTGTACTATCCCCATGGTACACACACCACGACTGTCCTCTAGCTAACTCAAAGCCTATTCGACACAGACATTCGGTGATTGGGCAGTTAAGTCAAAAAACGTTTCTCCTAATGGAGTTGGAATCTCATTCAGGTAAGCAGTTTTTCTCGACGACTGAATAATGTCTCAAAGCACACCGAACGAGTATGATGATCGGTTGCCAGGGTGTAAAATAAAACGCTTCGATAGCAGTAACAAAAGATAGACTATCGTCAAGGTTGCTAAGTATCAGGCCAGAATGGGCAAATATTAAACCCAGTTGGAATGCACTTCAGCCTCATTTTTTTCGCAAAAAGCCTCCACATAAATTCATGTCGAATGAGGGGGAGAGACAGAGGGTCTGAAATATAGTCGCACTTATTTTACACCAATAAGGAAGCGGATGCGAACGGCATTCCAAAAAAGCGGCGCAAGGCAATTTGTTAAGACAAGCCATTTCCCTCCCCCACCTTTCACTTTTTATTTGGTAGTGAGTGTCTGCAATGGCAATGATGTCTTGTTTTAGGCAAGTACCACATTCCCATGAATGCGGTACCACGGTCCCACGAATGACATGAGGGCACTTCCCTTGGGAATCACATAAAGTTTGGAAATGCTTTAGGCAAATTTAAGCATTTCTTAGTTCCAAGTTTTCCTTTTTTGAAGTTTCATTTATATTTCATAAACTCGAGCATCAATCAAGTGACAAAGACCGAAGTGACAACTACTTGACAGGCCACCCCATCGGACAGGATCGATAGTATCGCACAGACTGTGAGGAGGTCATAAGAGGTCAAACTACTGGCAGGTTTGGATCAAAAGAATGAGGCGAATGAAGAGATTTTGGAAGAAGGACGCTTTACCTTTGTAATGATTGGATTTGTGGTGAGCGAGTGCAGTTTCTCGTACCATTTTTTGTCTAGCCGTTGGAGATGTAGTGGTAAAACAAAGGTCGCTAGGCAGTGGCGTAGGGACTGGATTCTGGTGACGAACAGCCAGGTATTGACAAGTCGTGTTCAGGCAGTTCTTCTGTTGTTCATCATGAAGATTGGCGATCTGCTATTGCTTAATGTAGTCCGATGCTAACACGTCAAGTGGAACTTTATCGCCTGTTGGAACAAAAAATGCCACTAAGGTGCATTACTAGATAACAATAGGTTTCAAAGCCCGTCGAGTTTTCCTCCATTTCCTCTCCTCGTTGCAGATTGTTCACCATTTGGCCGTCAAACTTGGTATGAGTAGCTTTTTCGAAATCTGTTTAAAGGACAGACAAACAATCCACTTACTACCTAGTCCACGCTTCTAAGGTCCCGCTTATTCTCCAGGACTCTAATCCCCACTGGTGTACTCTTGACAGAAGGGTTAATTGTAGTCTTACTGCTGGAGGTCAAATAATTACTGCTAAGGCCTACTCTATACAATCCGGCGCAACTCAAATGAGTGCAAGATAACCTCCTAGAGAAAAGGACGACATGAGCCCTTAGGGTAGGAGGAGGGGAGAGAGACACCATCCCATTCTCGCTCTCATCCTTCTCTGTCCAAGTAGAGGTTAAGGCTTCCGGAGAAGGAAAGTACTCCATAAAAGTATGATTCGATGCAGCGACCCGCTCATTTTACTGGAGGACGACTACAGGTCCCAAGTGGGACGAGTTTAATAGAAAAATACTCCACAAAGTTCTATGTAATTATCTTACTTACACTAAAGAATACACAAGCACGTTTCCCCATTATAAACGGCGCTTCCTCCCAATTGTTTATCACTCCATCGTATGTTGATAATTGAGTTACATTTCTGCATACAATGCTCTTTCGTGTTCACTATCCATATTCGAACTGTAAAATAAAGTCTAATTTCCGGCGATTATCAACAAAGGTCGAGGCAGGAAGCGTATAATGATTCACAAAAAAGCACATTTTTGCGACAAACGCGGAAGTAGCAATGAGAATTTAATTCATTGTTTTACACAATAAAACATTGGCATGCTTCTACAACGCAAAAGACCAACTTGCCCGACTAATAAGATTTGGTATCAATCTACACCCCAAACTACTTATGCGATTTTAAGTAACATGTCTTGACCTGATTCCCTGAAAAAACTTGGTTACGCAGGTATGCGTAATACGAATCACGAACTTCCATGTTAAAGAACGCATATATACACAAGAGATCTTTTTTGCCTTTTAATTCATTTTTTGTTTCACTTTTAGTCATCTTCATGATAGAATCACTCGAAATTACAGTGGAACAATTAAGGCAAATATTTTCAAAAAATTACTCATGTTATTTAAAAAACTTCACTGCTTATTAATCATAAGTAGTGTTTAACGAGTACTAATATTCCATTTCATATGAAACAAAAGGAAATGACTAACCATACTGAGATAATAAGTGTATGCTGCAAGAGTCGAAAACAAGGCTTTTACATCGTGAACTCAGGGAAGGGGGGAATCTTACCTTTTGCGGACAAAGTCGTCCACCCTAGCCCGGAGACCCGCAATTTCCTTACCACAGTTTACCTAAATTAGCTAACCATTCAAACCTCGGGGGCCTGAAATATACAAAGGAACCCAGATGCCTTTTTCATATCATACCTGGTGGTAGGATTTTGGATTTTCATGGCGTTTAAAGGGATAAGTCATCACTTTACGTCCAAGACAATAGAAGCATTGGTCAGAGGTGAGCACCAAAAGGGTAGTTGACACATTGCGGCAGCCGAGTAGTAGTGGTCGAGACATCTTCCAATGGTTGCATAGCACGAGACCCCACAGATGACATGGATGCAAAGTGGTGACGCAACAATTAACAGCGGTCAGCCTTCTAATGGTAACGAGGTGGTTACAGCATCAGCACCCGCTTTTTAGTTTGGGTAGGAGTGAGGGCGGGGGGGGGGGGGAGTGAAGAAAGAGAGGAGTCAAAACACTTACGGATGAGCTTTAACCTCACAGAAACGGAAGCAGTTAAGTCCAAATGTCCAAAAGCGGGTGATTTAGATGAGGGCTATTAGTCTTCAGCAGAAATCCAACGAATCCGAGGGTGCATAGAGACCATAAGCGTTAAAACGGTTGAACTACCAAAGCAAGAAGCATTTTTTCCATTTCATCTCCTAGACCACCACATAGCGAAGGAATAAATCTGACGATATTGTAGGGAGATACTCTCCACAAATTTTTACTAGCAACTCGAGGAGGTGAGGCACGTTCAGGTAATAACTCCACCATTTTACCAACATTGTGGAGCATTTACTACGCCCCGCTTCAGCAAACACAACTAACGCAAAGTCCCTGATCTGTCGTAAAATTTAAAGTTCATTTAATCGTAACGACTAAGCTGAGAAGATGAGGGTCCCACCGACAAACCACACCGGAGACGTATTATCTGGTCTCATGAGCCAGAGAATAAGTGATATGGGGGTATTAAAAGCACTTAGTTACTAGTACATTGAGCCATAAAACTGCTACAAAGAAGTTGCAAAAAAAATTCCAGTAGAGTTCAATAAGCAAAATTTACCCAATTCCTATTCGCTCACTGATGGGGTAGGTTTCCAAAACAAGTATGCATAGAACACGTCTCCACAGCAGATCTGCGCTAGTGAGCACACGATGTTACCATCGCAAACAATACTGAGGTCTAGCTAGAAATTGAAAAAGAAAGCAAAGCTCCGAGATCCACCAAGCGCAAAGTTACACCGCGGATGGGTCAGTGAAATTGGGAGGGCAGAAAGTAACCATAAGTGACCCTGAAACTGCTGCTGTGTTGAATAAAGCATTTTCGTCTATACAGAAAACCGCTGCAGAATTACCAACTTATGCGATGGGACTTCGAGAAGTGATCAAGGAGAGGGAGAGAGAGCTTTGGAGTCAGGCCCGTGTGATCGCGTCGGCCTTTATCGAAACAAAAACAGACAATAAAACTAATGGAAATTACTGAGGTCAGTAAAGAATGACTTTTACGCAATCTTCCGTTTACTAGGGCATTAGTTTCGTACCTGCCAAAGTATTCAAAGGTGGTTGTAAGTTGGAAGAGAAAAGCAGAAGTGAACCAGCCAAAGTATTGGCACTTAAATAAGGAAAAGGAGATTTTGATGAAAAAAAAAGAGGTTATTTTTACCATTCCTGCAATCAGACAGCCGCCTGCTAAGCGGAACAGCAAGAAATCAGCAGTTAGGTTGACCAAGCCGTGCTCAGAATCCTTGAAATCACTCTAGCCTCCATTTCTCCATACTTGATAGGGAAATGAAGATTGTCTAGAAGGCTAAACTCTACCCAAGCGAAAACAAATTAGTACAAAGAAAGGATGTGGAAGTAAACAGGTAAAAAAGGTAAAACACACAAACACTTCCAATAACCACTGAAGCTGAAGCGAATAACTAAAAAGGAGTGAAAATGTGGTCAAAAACAAAGTGCTAACACTTCGTGAAACAAAGGAACCAACAATAATTGCTGCTAGCCAAACTGTCAAGAAGGAGAAAAAGAATAAGATGAAGCGCCATAGATGCTCCCATTATCCCACATTCATAACGGCCAAAAAGGAGCAAATGCAAATCCAACAGTTGTGAATGTGACCCCATTCATTCATAAACAACACGGCAGCTTTGAGATCGCAGGATTTGGGAAACAGAACTAATTGGGAAAGTGTTTAGGGTTCATCAACATATTTCAGAATGAAAAGGCCGAAATACAACTGCTCTTTCAGGAGAAAGGGATAAACCAAAAGTAATTGATTTTAAAGGAAATGATGGCCCGCACCAGTAAAACATGAAAAATAAGGAGACGACGAGGTGACAATCAGCTCAAGGCGGGGGACTACGCGTTTTCGGAGCATCCACTAATCAGACGGTAAAAAGTAAATTTGTCTAAGCAAGACCTTTACACCACCACCACCACCACCACATTTGTGCCTCCAAAGAAGATTACACTGACAGCATCTACCTGTCCAGACAAGAAACCACAGACGACAAGACGATCAGCAAAATTACACAACTTGATCGGTTCATTTAATAAATACTTGGCAATACTAATTAAACATCTAAAACAAATAGACACATTACTGTTGAAAAGGCAGTTTAGCTAAGTCATCCGCAGGTTCGGTTGCGATTACATCAAATAGGGTATCGAAGGCATAATCATCGAGATCTCCCGCACCAGTGCAACCAATTATGTCAGCATCCTCCAAATTTGACTCAGCATTCACTGTAGACGCGAAGAACTCGTCTACAATCTCCTGATCCACTGAAGGCACCGCTCTATCTTCTCGAGACATGGGAGAACTGTAGGCTTCACCGTTAAGCACTGGACAGACATTTGGAAGTTGGACGTAGCTGGACGGGGAGGATGTGGAGGACACCAGGGCAAAACGCCGCTGATGGGGGTTGGGGAATTCAAAATCGTCTTGGTCCAATGGATAAGAAGAATTATGGAGAAGGGGGAGGGAAGGAACAAAGCTAGGCAGAGGAAGGTTTCGGAGAGAGTGTTTCCGTGTTATTTTACGATTGCTGCGACGCGTAGGCCGTCGGGAACTCCCACAAGAACGAAACTCACGGGGTTCATAGACTGTAGTGAATGAGCTAGCTGATGGTACACATGTTGGTGGATGCGATTCATCTCCCAGCAACTCGGTGAGCTTTCGATGCGCTTCCAGAGCACGCTCCCGCTGAGATATTGCGTAGTCGCCATCACGATTCCGAGACCTAGCGTAGATTTTAAAATATTAGTGTAAATGAGGCTTACGCCTTGTCTTCTTTCAACACAGCCTCAACCACACCTGCAACGATTTCGTGACGCCGCATAGGTGGGATGATATGAGGTTTGTCAGTTAGGGGGATACCAAGTTTGAGACATTCGGTTTCGAGGATAGCAATTTCTTTTACAAGGCGATCATAAATAGCCATATCATGGATTTCATCCTCAATCATGCCACAGGATATCTGCAAAAGTTGGGGATAAGAAAGCTTCTCTGGGCACTTTCCAGCACCATCAAGATGTCGACGAATGTCCTCTTCCGTGATACAAGTACGGATCATCTCGTAAATGATCGCCAATTCACGTCGACGACCACGCTCCTGTTCGTTGTGATCCATTTGAGCTTGTCGGTCTCTAGTGTCGGACACCTTCCGAGACCCATTGATGAAACGAACAGTCTTCTTTGGAGGCGCACCTTCAAAAACCTCCTTAGTTTCGTAATCTGCTTCAATATCTGTGCTCGGTTGTAGAAAAGTGGTCATATTTTGCTCGCAAGGAAGTCGCTGTTTCCGCGACCGCGAAGACAGCTGGCGATTCATAACAAAAACCTAAAAAGAAGCAATAATATTGGGAGTACCAACTCTAAAAGGCCGAAACACGACAGAAGACAGGAACTCTTACGACTTACGCAGAAGCACGCAAAGCCCACGCAAAAGAGCAGGAGGGCCGCTCGGCGAACGACTTAAACAAACAAAAATCATAATGGCTAACATTATACTCCTTTGTTGATGAAATTATTTGCGCCCGTACTTCTTTTTTTAAATATTGTTGTTATAATAAAGTAAGTTTTACTACCAGAAATGCAGCTTTGTGGCAAATAACTAAAAGTGCAAACTAAGCTTCTAACCTGTAAAAATATGCAAGATTGAATATCTCCGATTACAGTTGTTGGTTCTTGTTAAGGCAAAGCAATTTAAATAAAAAGCATGTTTTACTTTGGTTTGGTTTAATTATGATTGCGAGGCACATGGAGCAAAGCCCACCATACTCACGTTAATATCCTTGCATTGGGGTAAAATTCGGAGAAAGCAAGGCTAATTACAGTAGTGCATTAAAGTGTTTTTGCCTTTACACACCCCTCAATTAGTGCCTGCTGTGAGCTCAACCAATTACCTGACCGTCAGCAAGCGGTGGTGAAACATGATCTCTGAAGATACCAAATTTTGCCTCATAATTTCCTTTTAGTTCAAGATATCTTCAATTTACCACAACCTACGCAAAGACAGTTGCTAGCACTGCTTATCTATTTCTTATCTAGATACACCAAAAAGCATAAGTGGCAAGTGTTCACATTAATGGCATCACTTTCTACTGTCGAGAGTTGAAAAAAAGATTCCGTCTAAGTGTACCGATCCACATTGGTTAATGGCGTTAAAAGTGAACAGATAAAGAAATCCTCAGTTGCTTTAATATCTGCAACTCCTTCGTGTCCCAACACTTCATGCCATTGATGATCCAAGAACGGGGTAGATCGAAGAAACATTGATCTCCACCGCTCGGGGTGTTTCAAGGTGGTTATTGAGCAATGAGACAACGAGCTGTTTAGCTACTCACCTATTATCTCATCCGTCGTCTATCAGCAATTGGCGAATCCGTATATCTGCCTTCTACCTTTGCATCCATCCACTTGGAATGAATGCAAGTACGTGTGTCCAACCAAGCAACGGCGTCCAGTGAAGAGCTTGACTTTCCAAACTGGTTCGCCTAATTGTTTTACAAATGTACCGAGGTAAATCCGAGCAATTCCTTTTCTATGTATAAGCGACAAATCTTTATTGCGAAAACTAAATGTTTATTCTCATTAAACACGACAGTAAATAACATTAATTTGATACAATTGCTTTAATTCTAATATGCGAATATTTAGCACAAAGTCTCTTTACAAAAAGTAATGTTATAAGGAAGTTAGGAGATGGTGGGATAAATCTGACGGATCTACTGCCTTCGGTTTACTAATCGTATTAAGGTTTTTACTGCTGCCCAATCTTAGGAAGTTAAGATGTTGTTATAAAGTTCGAAATATTTAATTCTTCGACATAAATCGCTTAATTAGTAAAAACCGATGAAGTTCGTATGTCAGCAATCGCGTTATGCAAGGTTCACTTTCCTCTTGATTCGGAGACAATACTACTACCTGCTTATGAGGTCTAATGAACACGACAAACGCCCGACTATCTTCGGGTCACTTATCTGGGTTCCAGATCATTTAAAATATGTTTCACATTCCTCTTCAAACTATCGCCGAACATTCAAATATTAGCAGGAGAACATCATTTCTTTAACTAGACCGATAAACTTCAAAATTCGGCTTTAACAACCAAAGTAGTTTGTAAAATTGGAAAAATATGCTGAATGTTGCCCACGATTTCAGGTATTCGTGTTTTCTCATGCGTCCTTTATCTTGGTTATTCGATAGTTGAGTTTTATGACGGCGTAGCACATTTACAAAAACTCATTAAAACTAGGTCAGTAACCACTCATTCAAAGGATGTTAGGAGAAAAAAAGCGTTGATCTCTATGAAGAAGAATTTTACTTTAAAATCTCACTCAGCGAGTTACTCGACTATCGTTGAATAGTGATTAAACCTGATATAGCAGGATCCGTAATTATAGCCTTATATTTCATCCCAAGTCAAAGCATCTTTCAATGTGACTGCAATCAGAGTAAAGCTGGAAATTGGATTATGTGTCGCTTTATAGCGAAGTAAGTTTAGTTTTGGTAGAAGTTACCAAAACAGTGCTACAAAATAAAGACAATTTCTTTTTGCGATTTGGGTACAGCTAACTCCTTTTACTGCACGAAACGAGAAGGTACTTGTAAAATACGTTGGTCCATTTGTGACGCATGCATTGCAAATGGTAGATAGGCCTCAGTCTCCAGGTATGCTGGTATTTAACATGCTGTTTATCAGTTACTTTCCATTTGACACCCTACTTTAAATCTAATGGATGTGAGTCATCAATGCTGCACATTGACACAGCTACACAAAACGGAATGCTCAGAGCATATTTACAGAAAAATGTTTTTACATGTATTGTGTTTAAAAGGCGATGGCACAGGGGACAACGGCTGTGGAAAAATCTGCTTCTGGCTTACTTTTATTCGAGTCGCAGGAGCTCAAGAACCCTTCAATTAAGTTGGGACGTCGACGAACTGGTTGAGGGCAGAGTGAAACAAATTGAAGTAACAGCAGAACCGACTTCTCACCTCACTCCCGCTAAGGGAAATGTTGTAAACAAAACGATGGGACAAAGTATGGTTAATGGACTGTAACTCAACACTTTTTGAAGTGCTTTTGGAAGCATCTGGTAACAGAACCTTGATTTTTAGTTACACAAGTTTCATGAATACATGACCGACTGGTAAGCTGATTTAGAATTATCATTTGCATTTTGTAGCATGCATTTAGGGCCATGTCAATAGGAATGACTTAAAGTAGGGGGTATATATACATAGATAAAGGACCTTTACAGGCGATATTGGGGTCACAGCATTTTCGACAAAAGATAATGCAGATTGTGCCAATAAAGCCAAATCAAATTAGGCCGCATAGTATGAATACGTTCAAATTTGGTTCTTACGAATACCTTGTCATCACTAACAGCTCCTTCTAAGATGCCGCCACCAGAGGGAAGATCAAAATCAGCCACGGAAATTGAACTTCATTGGTTAGAACCAGACATTTTGAAAGGGATCCACGAACCTTATCGCCTGACCTGTTTGAATGCGACGTGAAAGGGCGCTGCCATAAGTGCCCTTACCAAAATTAACACGACGACCTCAAGAACTGTTGAAAATTTACATCTAGATACACCTCATTAATGCCTCGTGGATGTCAGCACGATTCTAGCAAATGCACAGGATCCGGTAAAATGTGAAAGACACTCCAAGTCATTGTCTCACATACAGAGCATGCCCTCAAGTGAGTTAGAATCGTCGTACTATCTCTTTACACTTAATGGCACTAATATTACGGGACTTACCTATGGCGTGACGCAGTGGGGAATTCAAATGAATATGCCATTGCCCTGTCCATGTTGCCCAACAAAGTGTATTCATACCCATTTGTATTGAAACCTTGATAAATAAGAACACTTGTGTTGAAGGTTTGAAACTATCTACGCGCAGGTGATAATTCTGTAATATTGACGAGGCTTGCAAATATTCTGCTATACTGGCCCTATGTTAATATGATATCAGACACTCTGCAGATGTGTTTCAAACTGGTCAAGGTGGAGTGAGATGGCTGAAGTCTGTCAACACTCCAACATAGCCATTGCAATGACTTTTATTAGGTCACCTTCGGAATTTATAGAGTCACTTCCCATTTGTTATCAAGAATGAACAGACCGTAGTCAAAATAATGTCGTCAAATGAAGTCAGTTAGAAATTACGGAATCCGATTTTGAATTTCTCACGTCATAACATGAGAGTATGATGTTGAGTTTATCAATATGGGGCAGTTGATAATGTTTGTTACTGTACAGTCCACAGCTATGCGATATGTATGTGTTACATGATATTACTACCAGCGGCTCCGCCATAACTTCCATAATCTCTGGCATGGCGGTGGCCCATGCTTAAACTATACCGTAAGTAGGTAGAAATGTGCAATTATTTTAGCTATGCGCGAAATCACGTCCCACAATTTGCATTTATCCAGCCAATCCTCTTCCACTTCAGGCCCCTATGAAGCGGGGATGGCAGCAGTTGCAATTTGTTTGTGTTCAATTATCAATAATGTCACCTCTTCTAGTGAATGATTTCTGATTTACAAGCGCAGATCCTTTCATATTTTGCACTATTTAGTCATTTACAGTTACATCGCAATGACTGGAAACAGGTAATAATTTATTAGTAAGTCCTTATTTCGCATGAGTTAGATATGGTAACCCATAATTAATTCAACTCTAACTCTAATGAACTGACCCACTGAATGAATGATCATCATGTAAAATGAATGGGAAACCTGTTGTATTTAAGCATAAGTTGCGTTTGATTTTTTACGTTGCACAGACGATTTTGCCAAGCTACGTGTTTTCATATTGGGGTGTGTAGGCCAAATTGTGGAATGAACCATGATTAGGATACCAGAATGTATCTATTTGCTGAAACAAATTTTTGCACTGTGTAGGAGGCCGGTGTGATTGGGCATTCAGCTTTGAAGCCACAGTTGTGGTGTCAGTGAGGCATGCGCCTTACATTATTTTAAATCAGTACACATAAGTTACCTAGTTATGTCAAGCCGACTTGATCTCCACTTCCTCAACTTAAGTATAAATAGACTATTGTATACTCACAACCCCTTAATCATGAGCAATGGTTAGCAAATCTACCTTTTTTCCTGTCATTGATAATCGTTTTGTCATTATAAGATCACCCAAGTGAAGGTAACATAGCAATAGCATAGTGCAGTTGAATGCAGGCTTTACTTTGCACAGAGAATTTGGAGTGAATGAAAGAGCTTAAACAGCGTCTGTTTAGTATGTAGCTCTGAAAATTGGCTAATCAAAGAAGGAAGTGGAGCATGGAATTTGCCTCACAGATGGCAAATGTTGTGTATGAAGAGATGACGCTGCCAATCATTTGCACAACCTGCTTTGGTCAATCCCTCAACCAAAGTCAGAAAAGTAATTGCTTTTAGTCGTGAATTTGCTCTAAAAATCGGTGATAGCACAAAGTGGAATGGTAAATCACTCTGCAAATGCAATCGTTCTTGTGTAAATATGGCCTTTAACGCGGTGTGTCTATCGTTTGTGTAATCGTATCCATGTGTGGGTGTGGCCACTGGCAGGTACTCAACAAGCATCCAGAAAAGCAACAATCTGTTAAAAATTGTTCAGATTACGGGGACTACTCAAAAATGAGGTGCAGTAACGGAAGCATCGACAGCTCATACACACATCAAAGAAGCACTAAAAGATTAATACAACAACGCGAAGCATAAAAAATAACCTAAAATCCATGAAAACTTGCACGCAGCCTTCTTGCAAACCAATTAACACTATCTGACTGCACACGCCTAGAACTTGAACCAGTATTATCAGGTAGAAATTTATACGGGTCAAATATAAACTAGTCGCTAAACACTTCCCTAACAAATGACCAAGACCATTTTACACCACTATTCAAAACTTCAACCTTGAAAAGACAAATAAAACAACTTAAAGCAACTAATTTTAATAAGGACGAACATCCGCAAACTCGTGTCAATACCGCCAACCCCACAATTGCTTCTACTGTAGAAATAACCATTGAAACCATAAAAGTCATATGGCTATCTAATGGTAAAGACAATAAACGGAGCAAGAGAATCAAAACTTCAAAATTCTCTAAAATCATTAATATATTCAAAAAACGCCCAGTCGTCAAAAATTCTACCATAATCTCAGAGATAAAAACCAAAAACTTCGTAATCATCATAAATAAATGTTATAATGAATACAGCTTTAAAAAAACTAAAGTAATTAGCGCTTTCAGAATCAGGAGTCTGTAATAACAAAATGATTCGTTACAGAAAACAGCATTAGCACAAAATTAAACCGCAGACATCAACTCTAGCAGCATAAAATTCGTCCAGCCTAAAACTAGCGAATTTCGGCACGACAAGACAACATAATATAACTCTACTAAAACAAAAACAACTAACAAACATCAGTTACCCCAATCACAATCGTCATTACTCCATGATTAACTCCGCATAATTCAACATAATACCTTACAACGAGCCAGATTGTGAAGGACAAAATACACTTGTTTAACCGACCCGGAATAGCAACCATCTTCAATTTTACGAAGACACAGAAAACGAATGAATTACATCTGCAGATGTCACAGCCGGATGATACGGTGCCCCTACATCTTACACAGGATTATCTACCAAAAAAAATCCTTAAAATAAAAGGAAATATAATCCTCTTTAAGATACTCAATTCCGAAACATCATTGGCGCCCACCAGGATGAGTGTGGGTGGAGCCTTCAGTGCTCGTGAAATCCTTCTGCACCTTTGTCCTTCTTGGTAAATCAACCCTCAGTTCATTTTGCGAGAACACATCGCTCGCACCAACGCAGCGCCAAGAGGGATGTGCGAGGCAAAGATGCTCATTTAAGCAGGCGGACATAAGCCTATAATGCCTTATCTACAGCTCGTGGGGGTGACAGGTAAGGAGGTGGACTAAAGACGTGCATTGGTTTATGCTTTGATAGGGTAGAGGAGGTTGTGCCGAACTACGCTCGGATCCTCTGCATGGTGCACGTGGTTTCATTGATGCAAGACCAACGTCTGTCAAATGGTTTAACCACATCGACAACAACTACTACGAGGTATTAGTAGTTGTGATATTTCCACAGACCATGAATGGGATCCATTCCATGCCTGCGCCTGATCAGCTGAAATTCGTTTCATGTGATGATGACGGGCGGGGTGACTCCACCTTAGTTGGGTGTATCAAAAGACGCCTTCCGGAACACAGTGAAACATTACACTGTTGGAATGCGTTGCACTTGCACAGTCGTCTAAATCACATTTCCTTCAACTTCTTTGCTTGTTTGATTATGGTGCGTGTTATTGTGCTCCGAAGTGAATGATTAGCAATGCTGCATGCACGAAAATACGATCTCGTTGCCAATTATTGAGGCACCTTCCTGCTGACCTCAAAGATGAGAGGCGGCATGAAGAGACATGGAGGTGGTTAAGAGTGTTTAGGTAGATTAATGTTCTCCGTAGTGGATAGGAGCCAGCATTATACAATACCCTTCTTGGCAGGCAAATGAACGATCAAACGTAACTAGCAATGCATTGGCCAAATCCACGCTCCTCTATGTCGACCCTCAAGTCCCACGCTACACTTACAAGATGTCTCCAGCAAATAGTTCTTTACCTGTGTGAAAACCGTGCAGTTCTCAAGTAGTGTGAGTGGCACGGACAGATGTCTGGTATCACTAAATGCTGGGTGGATCTATGCTGAGAGAGGGCCTACCTCCCAGGTTTGCCAATGATGTCCGGCATGTACGTTTGTGGTGCCGCTGTTAGACTTCCTCTTTTCGGTCCTTTCTCCAAATGTCGTATTATAATGAGGAAGTGAACTCAACGCTCTGTTTCTACGAGTGATGGTATCAATCACTCTGCATGCGAAGACAGCACAGAACCAAACAACATTGCCATATGTTTGATTTCCTCGAGTAGCGCTATTACTGGTAACCTACTTGGTATTCCCGATTCCTCGAAAGTACTTAAGTCAGTGATATGAAATCCAGAGCTAAACGCAATGCCTCCAATTCATTACTGGCTCACAGATTTAAAGAAACGTTGCCTTCAACCGTATGTAAATTTAAATGGAATGCGAAATGACAAACGAACCAGTGTTCTATTTGTTACCGCTTATCTATCGCTTTCCTGTTGGACTGGAAGCTTTCCATGGCTTATGCGAATAACACACCTCAGAGCGCAATAACATGCACCATGGTCAAATAGGCAAAGACAAATAAGTTAGTGTGACTTAAAGGCTTGCGATGATAAAGCGTATTGCCGCACAGCAATCACCGCGCTTTGTTACGAAGGCGCCCTTGTCACACCCAGATGGAGTGGAGCCACCCAAGGGCTGATAAAAGGAAGGAGGAGGCAGCAGACGGTTCGCGTGTCGAGTGGCTAATAGCAGTCAAGCATTTGAAGTGCTTGCGTCGTCGCATTCAAATCCCAATACGTTTAGTTGAGTGGAAAGAGTAGAGTACAGAAAAGGCATCACGTAGAATTTAAACGACATTGAAATACATCTGCCTAATGGATCGCGTTGCTTAATTAGCAGTAGGAGTGTGTGCATCCGCGTCCACATCTTTTATAATACAAAAGGAATTTATGAAATCCAGTTGTGCATGTTATTTTCACCTGTCTAATTTTTCTTAGGATAGTCTCATAATTCATGCAGTATATAAAGACATGGAAATATTTTGGGTTGATGAGGTACTTTATTGCTCTCTTTCGTGGAAGAAGGCCTTCCACTGATGTTCAACATGCGCGATTATGGTGTAGGATTTGGACGTCCTCTGTTTGCTCCCCTGGTTTCTACAGTAAAATACTAGGTCAGGAATTGTGAAAGGGGAAATGTCTTTTTGAAATTGAGAAATGAAAATTTTTAAGAGTGCGCGTTTTGTGCAGTTGCTCCCAAATCTAAGAAAAGAATATAAACAAATTATTTTGACACGATAATTAGCCTTATCAGCACACAGCCAAGATACATTAGGACAACACTTCAGCCTGCGGGAGCGGCTGGATTGGTACAGTAAAAGCATCCATTAAATTATTTTAGCACATGACTAACTTTATGGGGAAGCCGTTTCTAATGTCAAAGAATCAAACAAAATCCTTAAAACAAAGATTGCCTATTAATTTGAAGCAAACGATTTCCTAATGGCTGATAGAAAATAGCAGAATGTAGGCAAAGCTATCCATGTTTATATCTAGCGAAAAAGTGATTATTCTCTTGTTAATATTTTGGGCAAATTTATAATTTAGGGGATTCAGATGGATATTAATCTTAATGCCTAGACAATCAAGATCTTTTTGTAAAAGTATAGCACTAGGAGCTTACGATTTTAGGGCTTAAATTGAAATTTGCAGCAGTTCAACAAGCAATTATCAAAATGGCTGCATAGGTAACACAGTTATAAAAGAAGGAGCAAACGCAAATGCTTTGGGCCAAATCATGACTCTTAAAGGGGCAGAGTTGCCTTTGCCGCTATAGACTTGCATGGGGCATCGACGGGCTTTGGCAGCGAAACAGTTGTGCGTTTTATTGAAAGCCACTTTCATAAGCGAAGACAGCCATGGTAGGCGCTGGGTCAGGTATAGCAGTAATTAGCTGATTTGTTATGCAAGTCGGAGAAGTGAGCTCTCCTGCCATGTATTTGTCAAAAGCCAAAATATACTCAACCTCGAGCATGACAGCTCTTCGTTCTTGTGTGGACACATAGGGATAGCCCCCTAGTCACCAGTTCTATGTCGTTTGTCGACCCAATCAATCCGTGCAATAAGGACCACGTCCGTTCACATCGAATGGATGGTCAACTTCAGTTGGGTATGAACACTGCTTACGTTTTAGAAAGGCTTTATCACACATATCAAAGCCACCTTTTGCCAACACTCATTCAGTCTTGACCAATTTGCCAACCTCTGCTTGCCATCCACTAACAATAATGAAATCCGTTTACTATCAAGCGATTAAACCTGAATCTAACTGTCATTTGACAATCCAATTACTCGCGCCTCAACCACTCATTTCCTAAACCTCCATAATTCCATATATTTATTCATTTATGCGTTCATTCAGCGTTGTTAGATAAGCATCAAAAAATGAAAGATTCACTCCATGAAATTAGGGAATTTGCTCACTCCATCGCAATCTCCAGGTGCATCCGTCTCTCCGTGTGTCGTCTCATCGCCTATGCAGATTTCGGTCTTGCAGCCAGTTGGCGATCTGTGGAAGTCATGCAATCAGACAAATTGAGAAAACCCGCTTTCCATAAAGTCTTCGAGCAGAGATGACAAAATGATGAAAGGTAAAACACAACTCCAGACCTTTACCAACTTCACCCTCTGCGTATATGAGTCGAATGCGAATTACCAACTCTCCGAGTTTGGGGGTTTTGCCCTTGATGTGCCAGTTAGGATTTGAAAAGATATGCTGAGCCCCTCTAACCATCGGAAAAGAAGAAGAATTGAGTATTTCCTGCTAGCATGAGGCCCTTAATTCCATTTGTCATTTCCTTGTTGTGTTAAAAGAACGAAATGCTTCATTTGGCTCTGTATTATGCCATGGGTACACACATATCGAGATGGTGTTCATTTCTACACTTACAGAGGACCATCAAAGCGGGTTACACCTTTGATTGTGAATAATGGACATTGAAATACTGGGAAAGATTTTCTCTAATAATTAGTTATTTAGATCTCTTAAAAAATTGACTCGAATAATTGCATCAAGTTTCGAAATTGCAGTTTATATTACTTGCCATGTCGCAATCAAGGCGATTGTAAGCAGTGCATTTGTGGAGTAAAAGCAAGTGGGATCCAGAGTCCGTTTGCATAAGCCACCAGCTTAAATTACTAATCAAAAATTATAAACCAACAAATCCGCGCTTTTGCATTGCTTGATTTCTAGGGGAAGATGGATGCCTCCATATGCTTTGGTGGTGTCCTTGCCACACCCCAGTCCTAACCCAATCCTAATATTGTTATCTCTTACGCAAAGACTACCGAGATACACTTTAGTAGCCTTGGTATCAGACCTTTAGAATCCTGCAGCACCAAGGTGTTGGATGTTGGATTAAGACAAAGCATGGTAATGTAGGGATGTGATGCCAAACATCATCCTAACTTCATTGCGAAAAAATGAAGCCTGTGAATCCAGAACAAGTGAAGAGATCAAACGCTTATGAAAGTACATCCCACTATATGCTACCAGTAGGAAGTCTTGTCACTCGCTCAAAATGGCATTGGAAAACAAATGCACTCCAATCATAGCGTAGCGACTCAAGTCTTCTCTCGATCCGCAGCTGTGCAACAGAGAGGAAGTGTTAGCTACGTGGAATCAAGTGTCTGCATGATTAAACGCCCAGTTAAATAAACTACCAACGCGTTAACTAGCCACTGTCTTCTTCAAAGCATGCATTCTTTGCATCTTGATGGCTATAGTTCCTAGCTCTTCCACAATCATACGCTCTATATCTGTACACAAACACACCGGTGAATTAAGTTTTTACCCCAAAATAATAAGGAGAGGAAGGATTTGGGTTCTGAACATCCAAGTGCAGTGACTGTATCTCTTTACAACCGTGTAACCACTTCCTACTTGTTCCCGCATCAGACGCCGTAACAGCACATCTGTGTTATTGTTATGCTGACAGATGGGAAGAAGCAGACAGCAGTCACATCTCCATCAGATGTGAGGAAGTCTGTGTTATGCGGCGCTGCAGACGTGGTGTGTTTGCCAGTTGCTGGAGTTGTTGAGCCCTAACCAGCCAACGTCTCCATTCCATCCCCTTGGCTGAGTACATGAATGAAAACCTGGCCGAACACCCCATTCCTTCTATATTGCCAATGTTTGACAAAATTTTGTTATTCATTTGTATGGCAGTCCTATTATCGCGAGCGAAAGATGGTAAATTTGAGTTTCCCGTTGTTTAAATGGCTGGAAGTCCTCTCTTGATTAATGTAAGTAGATGCAACAGCGCACGTTCACTATTTGCGCGTTTATCTAAGTTGAAGTTGCCTGATTAATATGCGTTTTAGAGTGCACGTCCTTTTTAAACCCAAACTCATATCTCAACCATCTCTTATTGACGAAGACCAAGGATGTAGCTTGCGTAAGAATTCGAGAAAGGACACAATTAGTATCGCCTTGTCCAAAAAAACCGGATAACCAGTATCGGCCTTTTAGTCAATCATCAGTACAACTTCACATTTGTCGGGGTATGACTTTACGATGAGGAAATTTTAAGCCACAGGTACGTTTGAATCCATAGCGCATAATGTAAATTTTGTATTTCACACACTTGCAAGGACGTATACCTATCGAAATGATTACAATATATGGGCATGCATGAAAAGAATAGGTTAATAAGCAATTAAAATTTTTGAACTCGGATTAAAACCGAGTGATTGCGCCCTTTGTATGACAAAACGCACATATTTAGTTGTGAATTAGATAAAAAATTGGTCAACAAAAAATTAAATGGATTTTATATGTTTCCATTGTCATCTTTACCCAATCACATTGAATTCTCTTTAAGACTTTTCCTCCTCATACGCACCACTACCATTGCTTCTCGATGTCTTCGCGCACTGGCTCAGCTTCTCCCGTACTCATATCACTATCAAGTAAAATATAACCAATTTTACAAGCGCAAGTGTCTTTTCTTTTTTGGTTTGGCATTATGGAAATGCATTTTTTGTACTTCTGCGCACTTTCGTACCAATTAGCTCGTTGTGGAGGGGTGAATTTACTAAAAGAATCAGAAATTCCATACATTCGCACATCAAAAGTGAACATGGACAAGTGAAATTTTATCCTTGTTTTGATTTAATTCATTTGCAAACATATTTGCTGACGTCTTCGTAGATTTTACCGATAGTTTTGGCAACTACGTAAATTACTTTTCTTATGGGACATTGCGTATGCCAATGTATTCACATCTTCAATGAGTGATTGAGGAATGACTAACTGGAGCAACCCGCAATCAGTCTACCAGGGGGCTATTAACTACCCTTGGAAAAATGCATGAGCCCAGGCACTGCTTGGGATGCTAAAAATGTCCTTTTTCTCCAAACTTGCTCTTGGTTTGGTACAACTGCACGAGGGATATGATGTTCTACCCACGCAAGGGCTTTTTGTTTCTGATTTACGTCCTCTTGTTAATTAACTTTGTACTGCTATGAGGCGATTTCCTCCCTCCTCATTGCAAATGTTTCCGCTGTCACCTCATGCATACCTCGACCTATAATAATTGAAGACAGCTGGAATTGCATCAATTCCTGTATTGTGTAAAGGCCGCATTGATTTAAAACAGCAAAACTAATAAAGGATAGCAGTATTTGCTAGTTGTCAAGAAAGAGTTAAGTCAATTTAAACAATTAGTCCCAATCTGTGTGATTATGCAAACAATACTATGACTGGGGCGCCGTGAAGAAGGTTTCTGTCAGACAAACAGACTTTCGTTGTGAACGCAACACAGCACTTTCATTGCTACCATCTCGAATAAAACCCTTGAGATCTTTTGGTAGGTTATCAGAGTTCACGTTCCTATGGCTCATGGTCGTTTATTTAGCTTTAGTATAACGAATAGCTTATCAAACCTGAGATAATGAGTTGTCGTCTTAAATTAATCTAAGTGAAAATGTTCAATGCATTCTGGATACTCGTATTTTCTGCTCCACAAATATTTGACTGGGACATTGTACTGTTGGTCTATTTAAGATCCCTGGTCTTTTTGCTGTCATGTCTTGGAATTGCCTTAGAGAATACCTGCTGTACGGTTAGAAGATAGGCTGCAATGTGCTTTAATTCTTAGCTGGAGTTTATTTTGCATCGTCTCATGCAATTCATCTCTCGCATTTCATGCTTGCTTGCTTAAATTCGTGTGCAAACGGAGAGTAAGTGCCGGGACTCCAATGAAAGCCTTGTCCTATTTTTTATTTAGGCTTCTTGCATAGGCTGCTTTTAATGTGTTTCCACAACTTCAAGAGATGATGCGATATTTACTTTCACTAGCCCACAGCATGCCAAAGCACTAAAGTATCTCTGAGATGAAAGTGCGACTATTGAAGAGGTGCCATAGGAGTAATGTGCAAAGGTCCTTTTTGGTACATGACGGCATTCTTCTCGAATCCATCTATCCTGTGAATGCCACTGCGGTTTTCGGCCTCGATATCTTTCCACGCTGAAGACCATTATTATTATTATTATCTAAAAGTGTCTTTGCAATTAAAATCTTAAGGAGTTCCCTGATTGTTGTATTGACAGTGAGTTGAGAACTTCGGCATTAGTGGTGGTAGTAAGCTGCGCGGCGATGTTGTGTAAGTTCATGAAGTAGACCCACAATCGTGAGAATGAGATCTTTACACGCCATCAATGATGCGTCTGATTTACCTATGTGGTATCAGTATGATTTCATAAGCTGCGAGAAACCCCTGTCTCTATGTAATCGGAGAATCGGAGGTGGAGAAGAAGTACAAGGACAGTTTTTTGTCACAAGAGAGTCGATGTCGGGTTATTGCCTATTTGCAATACAGAAAATCGAAAGCAAAGAAACCTTGACTGTTGGTTTACTTTGGAGAGAGGAACACGGAGGAACACTGACAGCAATTGGATAGACGTCATGAGGGAGGCGTGGGAAGAGGTGTGGGTGGATTCTATTGCTACATGTTCCAACAGTCTTTAACGGTCTCCTTACTTGTTGAAATTTTCTGATACGGGACGTAAGTAGATGTGGTTATTCATTAGGATGGGTTCTATCACTTGTTGGCATATGGTCGGCCTCTTCGAGCGAGTTGTCTTTCGCACGGACAGGTTTACCTGCTAACGTTAAAGTTCACTTTTGTATTAGCCAATTGCATGCAGTTTGCAGCCCGTGTATTTCGTATTCCTTGAGGGACTTCTACCAAAGGCCGTCTTTTCACGATGAAGAATAATTGCACGTATTTAAAACATCTATTTCACAAAACTTTTATGCTAGGTTTCTTCACAGGTATATCAGAATGCGCGTGGAAATGCATTCGAATTTTGGAATGGTTGACTACGTGGCTTGAAAACATTATGGTGATATGAGTCGTGCGAAACTCAATTGACAGCGGTGTTATCGAAGTTAGGTACAAATGGTATCTGAAGGAATGAAAGTTAGAGAGGAAATGAACAAGGGAGAGTCACAGCGCACCAGTTGCACCTAAGGCCGTAGTAACAGAATTCCGTAACGGTAAAATGAATGGTAGTTTTGCGACACATGCTTGACCGATTCTGCACTACCGTGGTTAAAGTACTTCCCAGACCATGTTTGAACTTTTGCATAAGTACAAAATGAAGGACAAGAACTTTAACGTTGAATGAGGATAAGTAGAACTGCAGCAGGTTTCGTGCAGAAGTCAATGTGTCGCTAATTACTGGTGGTGCAACTGAGGCTGCAATATTCCTACTGATGAAATTTAGCAGTTTTCTTTCTTCTACTAGCAATGTGCAAATAAAAATAATTCAAATATTTAAAGTGAAGTAATTTTCTACTGATTCGCATGATTGCCAACTTGATGTACCAACTTCAATAGCATTTCTGTGTTATGGGTGTGTCAAAATGAACTAGAATGGTGTAGATGAAGACCGCTGTTACTCAAGCAAAAATTCAAAACAGAATTAAATGCTTTAAAGAAATGTCTGGAGGCAGCACGCAATGTGGATTAACCTAAAAAAACTACTACCTGAATAGGCCAGCTACAAATTACACGTCGACATCAACCCAATTGAATGCTAATTACCATGCTACATCACCTCGCATAGCAAACTGATAAAGTGACTCAACAACGAAGGTAAAATTGAAGCAGCTACCCACAGAATTAGGAGTCCGATTTTGACAGGATTTGGTGGACCCAAGCAAGTCGAAACTACAGATTATTTAATGGGCAATATTTCCTTACCATTTCACTAAATGGTAATGGTACACTTTATTGATTTCTTCTCCATTCTGGACTATAAATTTTGCTTGGAAATACACAAGAGGCATGAGGAAACATCTATGAAACAGGGATGTGGCATAGGGGTGTACAAAAAGCCCGATTCATGCTTGTCATCCTCCACCATCGAACAGCGTTACCCTACCTCCGTTTACTGAGGGCACAACTTGTGGCTAATCTTAATAAAACGCCATAAATGCAGTCTTACCATTCACATTGTAGGTAATGCCGATTTTGAAAATGCCCTGTTCGCAATATCTTAAACGAAAGTCAACCCAACGTTTCATGCCATGAGCCTGAGATTCCTTCACTCTTCAACCCACCGTTAACAAGTGTGACAGTTAGAGGTAAAATGGTTAACAAAACACAACATGTAATACCTTGCAATGTGCAGAAGCAGATGTAGTTTTGCAGGTCAGGGAGAAGATATCTTATAGGACAACATAAATGTGAGCACTCCTATAAATACTCCATAAATTGGGCACACCACTCATTTCTGCATTGAAGATGGCGTACCGGTTGTGCTTCATTTTGTTGGCGACCCCCGTTTTGGTATGGGGACAAAGAGGAGACCATGGTAAGACGCGCCTTTATATTCAACTCTAATCACAATATGTGAGGAAGGGTTTTTTATATCAGTGAATCTCCCTCATTGCTTGCCGAATCTAATTTCCACTATGTTATAGGCAGTTTCATTTCACTGCACTTTCCCACTCAATAATTCTCATATTCTTCATGTCATTAACATTTGCAAGAGCCACGCTATTGTCTACTGCGACTTGATACAGAATGACTTGCATGTAGCACCACTTAAGGTAGAGAATGTGCATCAGTATGTAAAAGCTCTCGATTAAAGTATCTACTAATGATTATATAGCTTAGATGTAGCGGCTTGATAGTGCAGCTTCACCTTCAACCTCAGCCTCGACCCTAACCACACTGTATAAATCATCACAATTGTTTTCTACAACGATTTCAACGTGCCCAAGCCATTCACTTACGGTCATGCTTGTTATCGAGTGGATAGGATTTGCTCACTACTACACTCTCCAATTCAAACCTCTATCAATTTGAGGCTAAATGGACATTGAATAAGTAAATAAGCTTCAGATATCGGCCACTGGGTGGAATCGCATGAGGTACTTCCCCATGAGGGTGACTCGAGTACGCAAAGTAGTGTCGCCAATCATATAAGCGACTTACTTCTTCAAAATCCTTTGCACAAATGCATGTGACTATAATGCGCACTGCGTTTCAGATGAGGTGGCACAGAAGACAACAGTTGCAGGGAAGTCACTCCTGACATACTTTTATATGAGTCGCGTCAACTCTACATTCCTTCAATTACGTTGGCACATCGAGGAATTGGCTAAGGCCGGAGTGGAAGAAATTAAAGTAACAATAGAAGCGGCTTCTGCTCACACTTCTCCTAAGCAAAAGGCTGCAAGCGTGACGACGGGACAGGTTTCACTTGATGATTTGAAGCCCAACACTCTATACGAAGTGCATTTGGAAGCAACTGGTAACGGAATCTTGCTTTTGAGTTACGTAGGTTATGTGGATACATGGCCGACTGGTAAGCTTATTGCGCTTGATACATTGCATTTCGTAGCATGCGTTTAGAGACGTGTCAATGGAATGGCTTAAGGTAGGGGGTATGCATGCATAGGTAAAGTACCTTCGCAGCCAATTTTGAGGTCACAGCGTCTTAAACAAAATCCGCTTTGCAGATTGCGCCATTGAAGCCAAATCAAATTAAGCCACCTCGTATCAAGACATCCAAATTTAATTCTTGAAAATAATTTATCATTGCTAACAGCTCCTTCTACGATCCCTCCACCGGAGGGTAGAGCAATATCAGCCACGGAAATTGAACTTCATTGGTTAGAACCATCCATCTTGAACGGGATCCTCAAACCTTATCGCTTGACTTGTTTGGATGCCGCATA